TAATTTTAAGATAGACGGTGCTGGACAAGGAATCCGTCCCTGTGGTAACTGTAAGCAGCAATATCGTAACCGTGAAGTTCATGTAGACGGTTTAACTATAAGAAACCTCGAAGCTGGACAATATGTTGTTGGAGTAAATAAAAATTACGGAGAGAGAGCTACCCTCAAAAATATTCATATTTATGGATCAACAGCAAATCAAGTATTTCCTTGCAAAGTATTCGAAGGAAATAATCAAGGTAAAAATCCAAAAGTTCTTCAATCGGAAAATGATAATGGAGGGGATGGAACTTATTGCATTTATAAAAAAAGCGATATTCATATTAATTCATAAATTAAAAAATTTACATTCCTAATCAAACCCCCCCCCCTTCCATTACTTTTTATAAAATAACCCCCACAGGATTTTCTATTTAACCTATGGTTCAAATGATATTCTTCCAGAAATCCTCGATTAAATTCCTCTTAATTTTTTCGAAAAACCATTTTCCTAAAATTTAATCTTGCAAATCTTCAAGTTAAAATATTTAGTTTAAGCTTTAATTTTCTTTCTTTTTTTAGTTAATTTGTATTTAGAATAAAAAATAATAATCATTTGATTAATTACTTTTAAAAAACAATTTTTTACTTTAATCGTTTTTTCATACTTTTTAGATGAATAAAAATAAATACTTCCTTTAAATATTTTTTTGCGACTAAAATTAAATTATAATTACGCATTTTACTAACAAAAAAGCATTAAAAGCAAAGCCTCGGGAAAGAATATTTTTATTAAAAATATTTAAATAATTTTAAAAATATTTTAGAAGGGTTTAATAAATTTTTAAAAATATTTAAGTAATTGTTAAATAATTTAATTAAATTTAAAATCAATTTAAAATTAATTCTGATAAAAATAATAAAAAAAATTTTGAGGAAATAGAATTTATTTTATTTATTTTCTCAATTGATAAGGTCAAAATAAATATTTTGAATGTGTGCCTCTATAGCTCAGTGGTAGAGCGTCAGTCTCGTAAACTGAAGGTCCGCGGTTCAATCCCGCGTGGGGGCATTTTCGTTTTTCCTTAACTAAATAATATAAATTTTCATAAACTGCATATTAATAACTATTTTTATCCAAAAAAATATTTTTTATAAATAAAATATTATTTTTAAATTATAAAAATAATATTTCTTAAACAATCTTTGAATTATATTTACAATTTTATTTTTGTTTTGCCTGTTCAAGTGTTATAAAATTTCTGAGTTTATTCCATACATATGTGCGCCCTTATAATTTTTTTCTACACGAAAATGTTTCTACTAGAAAGAAATTATTATTTTATTGTATTTATTTATAGAAATACCTAATTTACTTCTTGGATTCAAATTTAATTCACAAAGTTTGTCCTTAAACAAAAATGGGCATCTCCAATTGAAGGTATCTAGAGATTAGAATCTTCTTTTTTGGTATTTTATCCTGTTATTCTATTTAAAAAACAATATTTTTTAATTAAACACATTACTACTCCAACTATTTATTCAAGTAAATTCTTAAAATAAATATTTTCCCCCTCCCTCCTTCCACTTGAGTTTTATGTCCCCATATGGTTTTTCTTGAATAGATTATAATTTGTTTTTCTTTTTCAATTTCTTTGTTCATACCGGTCATTCCTTTTCTATACTTGCGTTAATCCTTTACTTTTACAAAGCTTATGATGGCCAAATCTTTGTGGACAAAACAAATTTATTTATTTAAATCTTCTGCGCAAACATTTTATTTTTGTTAATTTATTTAAAATTACATTTATTTTTTAATTGATTATAAATAGGTATATCCAAAATTAAAAATAAAGTAAATTATTATACAATTTGAATTTTACCTTTGATTCAGGTAGGGTTTTTAATAAAATTTTTTATATTTGTTTAATACCTATATGTTTTTGAGAAGATTATTCAAGTAAATTCTTAAGATGGTGTGGCCGGATTCTTTAAAATCTAAATAAATCCTAATTAATTTTTTGTAAATTTCTTTCATTAATTTTTCCACTAATTTCTTCCTCTCACTCTCTTTTTTTGAAAGATTTTTTCTCATAGAGTCTGAAATTTCAAGACTTTTTGGGATTATAAATATAAGTAAAGACCAAAAAGCCTGAAATTGGTTTATTTATTATTTATTTTTATTAATTTTTTATATTTATCCTATACAAAATAAATATTCTCAAGCTGATTTAGTTTTTAAACATTTATTTACAAAATTTTTTAATTAAATTATAACATTAACATATAATTACTAAACATATATCAACATATGTATAACAATAATTAACAATTAAACTAGTTAACAATATTTTCAAAATCTTTCCTAATTAAAATGAATATCATTATTATTATATTTGCAATGTTTTCCATCTGCCCCCATTTTTTCAAGTTTAAAATTTCCATTTCCTTTTACTCCATTAAATATTTTACAAGGAAATACTTGTTTTGCTGATTTTCCAAGTATATGAATATTTTTAAGAACTGCTTGGTCATTAAAGTTAGAATTAACTGCAACAATAAATTGCCCAGCTTTAAGGTTTTCTACTTTTAAATTTGTAACTTCTATACGACGGCTAAATTGTGCCACACAATTACCACACGAAGCTATTCCATAAGTGCAGTCTTTCATCTAAAAATATTTTTTTATGAAGAGGGGGGGGATGTATTTTTACAATACTTATTAATATTATTTGGGCCTTTTTGGATATGGTTTAAAAGCTATCGAATAGAAGGGAAAATTCCATTTAGTATTGGTTGTTGAGTGTAATTATAACGGAAAATATTCCGATGTTAACTGTTTCTAATTATTTTTTAAATTTCTTTAAAAGGTTACAAACATAAAAATTGTTAATTTTTGCCGTTCCAGCCCCATTAAATTGTACAACTTTTCCATTTGCATTTATGGCTCCGCCACCTTCGATTATATACACATTATTTGGGTTCGTTCCTAAAATATATGTTAAAAATTAGTTAAAAATTATTGTCTTATATCTAATATTAAATGAATAAATGGGCAATATTTTAGACTTTATAACATACCTTACAAATATTTTAACATTTATTAAAATAGAGGAGGACTTCCCTCAGAACCTACCAAGAAATGTAACAGCATCCTCGCCAACTTTTTCGTGCCAAACATTTTTAAGTGTACAACTTCCTTCACAGTGAACACCATCAGCTGCTTTAAACCCTTCTTTTGCTCCAATAATGCAATTGGAGAGAGTAGCTCCATTTCTAACTTCAATAACTGGTTGTTGGAATTCATTAGCACCTCCATCTCCCATCTTTTTTGGGTCTGGTATATAACGTGTAAATCCACAATCAAAGTTTTTGGTCACAACTAATTTGCTTTGCAACTAAACAAAAAAATTAAGAGTATCTTTTTCTCTTATTGGTAGATTTTTATAGCATAAGAGATGTGTGATTTCGATCAGATCTCCCTGAATACCTACCCAAAAATTCTCAAATGTTGGGATCCTTTAGAGATTAACTAAAAAATAAAACTAGAACATATTGGCAAAAAACTTAATTTTAAAAATCTATATCAAAAAAGCGACAATAATCATGACCCGACCTAATAATTAACTACCGTTATTGTCTTTTTCGCTGCCGGCCCAAAACTTTGACACCCTTGAAGAAGCTGTAGGAGCATAAAAATAATAGGCACAAAAATAGACATTATTTTCTAACTTGGAAATATTTATGTGCAAGTATTTAATTATATATTTCTAAGAAATGTTTAGATAAAAATAAGCAAAAATATTAATTTTTACAGTAAAAATTAATGTTTTTGTGTTCAGTCTTAATTTCACCGGGTTTCTAAAATATGTAGTTGGGGTTCCCCAATAGTAAAAGTAATTTAAACTCAAGTCCTCTTAAGGGGTGGGGGGATTAATTGAGCATTCGCATATTAGCTCTGGCATTACAATCTGGCATTATTGGCAAAATCTCTCTACTTATATATAAAAAAATTTAGGCAAATATTTGCTTTAATGCTTGAAATTTTTTTAACATTCTTAAAGGACAATTAAAATATTAATTGTACTTTCTATAACAAATCCATTATAACAGGGACTTTTCAAGTTTAAATTAATTGAAACAGGGCAGACAAGCAGCTGAATTAATTAAATTAACTTATTTCGAAGTAATTTAGTAAAAGAAATTATAGATAATATACTATATAATAATTAATTTTTATAAAATTTGCACTTTTATTTGAAGATTTTTAAATTAGTTAGCTTTACACAAATATTTCAATAAATTTTTTGGATATATAAATTTTATGGTTTACGAAAGTTTTGTTAGGGCGACGCGAAACCTGGCCAAAAGTCTATATAAAATTGTATAAGAGTGTCAATCTCTATTTGAAACGAAAAATTTATTTTATAAAAATATGGCATATTTTCTAACATTTGGCATATATACAAAATTAAAAACTTTTGAATTATGGCATATTTTTTTACATATTTATTCAAACATAAAATATCAAATTATTGTTTCAATCTCACGCTGGTAGGGGTAATTAATAGAAGCGAGTAATTACATTTTCCTAACGATATCCACCTTACTCCTCCAAATTTCCTCTCGAAATCCCCCGGTATACTCGAAATAAACCTTTATCCCTCTAATACACCGATATTTGGTGATTAAGAAGGATATCAAGAGATTTTTTGAGAGTAAGAGGGGTATCCGATAAATTTCGGGTGATTCTATAAAAATATTGTACATTCACCAATACCCCCACCCTCCAATTTTGAGAAATTAATGATACCCTCTTAATCACTTCTAATTCCACTGGGGACTTAAACAAGGTTTATGACTGGTTCCTATCAATAAGAAAAGAATCAAACAGGAAATAATTATTTAACTTTATTTTAACACGTACATATAATAGCAAAAACAAAAAATACGGCTTAATTGCCATACCCAATACATACATACATATATCCCTTTATTTCTTTCGCAAATTAAATATTTAATCATGAATTAATATGAATGTCAGTTTCAGCAAAAATACAATATTTTCCATCTCCTTTAGTCTTTTCCGGTGTTAAAACTTTAGGATTTCCTCCATAATTATTTCCATCAAAAACTTTACAGGGGTAAACTTGATCTGCTGATGATCCAAGAATATGAATATCTTTGAGATAAGCTTTATCACTAAATTTTGTGTTGTTATTTACTCCAACAATAAATTGTCCAGCCGCGAGGTTTTCTACAGTTAACTTATTTATATACATAGTACGACTGTATTGCTGCAAGCAGTTACCACAAGAACGTATACCCAAATAATTATTACCTATCTAAAAGAAAATATTATTTAATAAAATTTCAAAGCTGTTTTATTACTCTTCAGAAAATTTCCTAATTTCCTAGGAGAAATATTCTTTAATTTCCAAAAATCCATTTTTTTCAATCTGGAGATTGGGGTTAAATTCTACAATACTTTTTGGAGTCAGGACTAAGGGCTCTTGGTCATACGTAGGTCCCAAATAACTTTCTCCATAACTATTTCGTTTGTGGCATCCGATAACTCATATAAATTTCTTAAGGTTTTACTAATTTATCTGAAATTTTTAAAAATTAAATGGATAATCTAACAGAAGGGCCAAAATTATTGGATGATTGCAAAATGTTCCAAACCCAGTCCCAAACTTAGATCCAAAGTAAATTTTCAATAGAGCTACATCCTTCCAGAAAGGTGTAAATTCCAAATTTATTTATTAAATTTAAATAAAAAATATTTAAATGTTAATAATTAGGTATACGAACATAAAAATTGTTGACATGTAACGTTCCAGCACCATCAAATTGTATAGCTTTTCCATTTCCATTCTTTGCACCTCCCCCATTAATATAATAATTTGCACTCGAATCAGTCCCTGTAATTGAATGTACATATTTTTAACTTTTGAGAAAAATCAAGAGCACATTATTTAAGAAAATAAGATGTTATAACATTGTTTTTTAACAATGTTAGCCTTAATTAAAAGTCTAACCAAAAAGAGAGATGGAATCGTCTCCAATATCCTCATTCCAACAATCTTCTACTTCACAAGGTCCATTACAATGAATTCCATCAACACCAGAATAAATACATCTTTTTATTGTAGCACCACTAGCTAGATCAAACACTGGCTTTTGGAATTCTCCACTTCCCCACTTTCCATTTTTAATATTGGGTACATAACGGTCATAATTACAATCAAGATATTTATCCACAGGTTTTGGTTCCTCCAACTTTAAAAAAGCTAAAATATATATTTAAAAATATATTTACTAACTGTAAATGTTTGTCTTGGGGTTGGCCATGTAACGGCAAACACACAATAATTTTGAAGAAATAAGGAAAAACCAATGAAAACAAGGGTACCCATTATTTTATTTTTTAGTAGTTTATAGTTTAAAATATTTAAAAGAAATTTTAGAAAAAATTTTCTTTAGTGTTAAGTTCAGTCACGTGCCCTAAATTGTAGAGAATACTGAGGCAAAAATTATGAAACCAATTTTTGTTAGAGTCAAATTCAGTTACGTGTCCTAAAATGTAAAGAAAGGATACTGATACGAAAAATTATGGTAGTCTCCAAATCCGTTCTTTCTTTTGAATAGGATCTTGAACAATGATAGGATTTTTCTTCTTTATAGGTTCAATATAAAATGCTTTCCAAATTTAAATTTTCCTTGTACATAAAATCAAGGTACGAAACGAATCCTATGGTTTTTATCTTCTTTAAAGACATTTATATATAAGTTGTTATACTAGGCAAACAAACAAAACACGAAAATGGTTGTTTGAACTTATTTTTGATAAAAACAAAAATCTAAAATATTTTGTTTTGTAAAACGTGGATTTAATAAAAAGGGGTAAACTTTTAGTTTGTTTTTGGCTTTTACTCTATTTTTTCGTTAAATAAAATTTTATATGAATATTTATTTGTTTAAGAATATTTTGTTTTATTTATTATAAAAAATCATTTTATTTTCACAAAATGTTGAAAATTTGTTTAGTAAATTTTTATGGACCAAAATTATAATTTTTTACACCAAAATTATCAAAAGATGAAGTATAGGTTTCTACAAATTAACTTGAAAAAAAGAGTAGTGGCATCTTATGAAAAATTTCTTGAAATATCATCCTTTAAATCAAAAGTTAAATAGAAATCTCTGTGGGGGTTATTTAATAAAAAGTAAAGTAATGGAAATCAGGAGTTTTAGGAGTTATTTTTTAAATAAAAATTTTTAAGGTTATTTAAGCCTTAATCCTCTTATATCCGTTTAATTCCTCCAAATCGACATTAATTTTTGAATAAATTAACGAAAATATACCGAGATCTAAATATTAATGAATATTCTTTTACTCGTTGAATTATGCGCAGGTCTGGCTGGGACTTGGTAGTAACTGAATTGTTAAAAATTAAAACAAAATTTATTTAACAATTGGTGTGTATTGTACTTTTACTTTTATTTACTTTTATTTACTTTTTTTTTACTTTTATTTATTGTACTTTTATTTAGCAATTTTAAATATCTGCTAATTTATTTCTACTTTTTAATAGCCACAAAAATTAAATAAAATATCTTCTAAAAATTAATAAAAAGTAAAAAAAAAGTAAATCAGTCATTCCGTCAATCAAAAAAAATATTTAAAAAGAAAGATTTATTTTTATTTATTTTTCTTTTAAAAAAGAGAAATTAAAAACAATTGTTTCAAAAAAGCCACAATTATTTTATTTTTAATGTTTTTCCGTAAATTAACTTTAAAAAAAGGAAAAATTTAAAACTCAAAATAACCGGCAAGAATTAATCGTTTCAATTATTTAATGTCCTCTAACCTTATCACATTCTGCAATCCCTCCTCCAAACCCCTAAATATCGACAAATATTTCCTGGATTTGAATTAGGGTTCAGAAAAATTCCTGATCCCGCCATTTTCTAATATAGATTTGACTGAAGTTTTGGGACTAACAACACCCAAAAATAACACCCAAAAATAATCCGAATTTTTCGCCAACCCGAAGATTTTTTGCACCCGCGGCAACACTTCTATATTGTAAAATGTCTTTTCAATCCTTATTTGTTTTTTCCATTAGAATAACTTCCTTTTTTCTATATGGATATTGAATTTTTTGGGATATTATTAAAAATATACATTATTATTTGGCTAATTATCCATTATTATTTTCTTTTTTTAACTTCCCTTTTTTCTAACAAAGAATTTTCTTTCCATTTATTTTTTTCTCTTTTTTCCTTCCGAACACTTCCAACACCTTTTTCATTTATTTTATAAACAAAAACTTTTTTAAAGAAAATTAAAAAAAATGTTTCTAAAAATAAAAAATAATAATAACTTTTATTAAAGAATTTTCATTTTTCATGTTTTTTAACAAAAAATAAACAATAAATGTAATATTTAATTATAAAATTTTACTTTTCCATTTTTTTCTTTTGAAATATCCTTAAATATTTTTTTTAACGTGAATAAAAAAATTTTTATTTAATTTTAAATTAAAAATTCAACCTTCTTATTCTTAATTTTATTTATGTATGTAATCTTTGTTACAGAATTTCACTCAGTAACAATTATCGGTCATTAAAAATAAACGCTGTATGTATAGGCCAAAGATTTTTATTTAACAAGAATAATATTTTATTTTCATTTTAAATATTTAAGTATTTAAAATTAAAAAAAAAATTAGCTTTACTGAAAACTAGATACCGGATCGAGACGAAATTTTGAACGAAAATCTCGATTCTCGGTAACAGTTTCTATGGTCATTCTGTAAATGTAACTCCTAGCAGGATATTTTCTTTGGTTAAATATTGAAAATTTCTTTGCATTCTAGATCCTTAATTAATTCAGGAAATAACCTCAACCTTTTATTTAGACTGGGTTATAATTAAGGATCTAAGACGTCTCAGAAAATTACCCTCTAAAAACCTTCAAAATATCTACATATTTTCCTCAGTCCTTCTCTATTACTTTAATTAAAACCCCACACATATTTAACAATCCCAACCTTTTTTAACCTTTATTCTCCATTTGCCTGCGCAATTTTTATTTAAACCTTCCTAACAATTTTTATATATATTCACCGCCATTGTGTGAATTATTCAAAAAGATGGCGGCAAAAAAGGACAAATGAGAAAAGCGCGGGAAATGGGAAGGAGTGAAGAAGAAGAAGAAAATTTATTTTTATTTATTGTGAACTCTTCAACAGGCGCAAGGCGGTCAAAAAGACATTATAGAACAAGCAATATTGTTGTAGAAGGAGTATTTAAAGAATGAAAAATGTTTTGTTTGGACAAGGGGACTAAAAATAAAAAAAAGTCAAGAGGTTATTGCCACACAGCATCTTAAAATAGGCAGAGGCTGTTACTTGCCTTTCATCGCGGTACTTGTGGCTTAGTTGGTAGCGCGCCCACTTTAAGTGTAGAGTTCGAACCCAATCGATCATTATGAATTATATAAAGTGTAAATCCCAATAATATCTTGGATAATTAACATTTAATGTCATTTTAAAGTAAAATGAATTTTTAAAATAAATTTTTACTTTAATTTTTCACTTTTTAAAACTTGTTTATTTAGCCATTCAAAAAAATTTTTTTCCATTCAAAAAATTAATAAATTTGGTTTTAAAACAAAGATTAGACACCGTTTCATTATTTGGGTTGGACAAAATTTTTTTTGAAAGGAGTTCTTTCGAGATTAAGCTTCTCGAAATTGCAACCCCCAAATCTTTAGAAAATAGCACGCGAAAGAAATAGTGGGGAAAAGAAAAAGATACAGTATTTTTATTTATTTCAGTGCCACTGAAACGGCTAAAAGTAACAGGTTAAGATGCTGTGTGCCAACAAAAAAATTTTTAAAGAGAGAAAAATATTTCCAAGTGTCGTTGTCTACAAGTTCTTTTTAATATTATTTAGTGTTGAAGGGAACATTTTATTCTCTTCAAATGTGTTAGGAAGAAATATATTTTTAGATTTATTCGTAATTTTTTTGCTTCTTATTTGAACCCTGTTATGGCACATTTTAAGGGTGGAAGTTTGGTTTGTTTGCGAATTAGTATACGAAATAGGGGATGTAAACTATGTATAGCAGGGGATGATTCAACAAAATTATTATTTCCTGATCACTTTCCAATCCAGTTTTTTAACAAAGTTTCCTTCTCACTTATAATCAATGAGGAGAACTGAAGTTAAAAAATTCCAAAAATTCTATTACATTATTTAAAAATCCAAAAATGTATACTAAAAATAGGATTAATATAAAAAGTAGTCTCTGTGTGTGTTCCCGGATGTCCTTTCTCATTTATTCTTTCATTATCTTTTATATGTTATCATGCATATAAACATAATATTTACACAATTAGTGAAGCAAAAAAATATAAAAAAAAAGAAAAAACAAAAAAAATCTTGAAAAAAGCGCAAGTAAAAAAGCTAAAAGTGAAAAGGCGCTAAAAGCTTTTGACAGCTAAGGAATTTAACAGAGAAATGTGCCGATGAAGAAAACAACAAAAATAAAAATATTACTAATAGTTTGTATTTACTAAAATAAATGTAGTAAATTTTTTTTATTAAAATGGGTATTTTAAGATTTAATTTTTTAATTAAAAATCATAAATATTTTTTAGAACCACGCCTTAAAGAACCTATCTTTAGAGATTAATAAAAATGTTTGTTTCTCTCATTGACCCTCTGAATTCTCACCAATTCGTTAAATCTCCAATTCCAAATTTGTCAGAATTCAAATAGATACTTTTTTAATTCAATCTTCAATCTACATTTTTCATAAAAAATATTAGAATCCCTGCTTATTTTAAGATTCAAAATTGCATAAAAAATAATTATTTTAAACAGAATTCTCAGTATAATTTTTTATTTATTTTAAAATTATTTTTAAATATTTTATTAATTTTTTTTCATTCTCAATATTCACATTTATTTGTTCTATTTAAATATTTTAAAGCGACTGTCAATTGGTATTTGGCCTCATTTTTAAACTTTTATCCCAAAATAATACTTGCACACACAATTCCCTCCTTCAACTTTTAAATTTTTCAACAAATTCGATTGCCTATTGAAGAGAACGACAAGTTGAAAAAGCAATAGACCGACAACCACCTCTTGCCAAATGAGGGCAAAAAGAGGCAAAAAAGTGTAGGGGAGAATAACAACACAATAATGCTTTGTTGAATTTATAAAAGTATTTTTAAAAATGGCGCGCGGCATAAGCAAAAGAGCGAAAAAGTTTTAGGTCTTTTTAAAGGCAATGTTGCTCACTTTAATGCTTATTTTTTAATAAAATGATTTTTTTGTAATTTTTTATTAAGCTTACACAGTGTTAATTTTGATTCTCTTTGCATCATTCTAGTAATTT